TATTGCAGATGCACACCTAGCAGTCTTCTGTATAGTTCTCACTGAGTGCCTTGTAGATCCTATGTTATTCATGTCGTTGACTAAGTCTGCTTCTCTGGATTAGGTTTCATCTCTGTAGGTGCTGTGTTTCTTGCCCTTCTCTTTGACACAGAAACCTTTGAATCCTCTAGTCTTCATCTTTACCTCTGAATCTTTGGCTCCATTCTTACTGCCTGCATTACTTCTGATCTCCTAATTGAGCATTCAAATGCTTCCAAACTGTCTTATACAGCATACCAGGGTGGGTTTTCAAACACTCTAGGGCCAATGTGAGGGCTCAGAAGCTAACAGACCTTACCATTGAGTTTGACACCTGAATTTCATTCCATGGCCGCACATGGTGGAGCAGGTCCTCTGACCTCCACAAAGCTCTTCGAACATGTGAATGCAAACACCGCTACACCCCCAAACACAGAAATGTCACAAAATCATAATTTGCATAGTGCATGCCCATGATCTAGTCTGAACCCTTCTGTTATCCCCAGTTTCTTCTACTGAATGTTAATCATCAAGGCATTAGATGACAGGGTAGGGGTGGGGCGACTTGAGAAGGTGATTAGTTATTGCCATGACAAAACAAGCTGCCATGTTTTTTTTAATAAGGACACTAATGTCATAACCTAATTGCTTCTGATAATACTGTCACACTGGAAATTAGGATTCCAACACAGGAACTGTAAGGGAAACATAAACATCCCATGACACAGAACTGAAAGAATGAAATGTAGGCATTGGGTTCCTCACCAGGAGCCAAGCTAAGTAGTAAGAATAAGCACATTCAGCAAGATGAGGGAGATGGGATCCTAGAGACCTCTCAGGAACACACATCTAACTCCTGTTCAGACACTAGGTTTGTATATACTTGGCCCAGGGAGTGGCATGATTAGAAGGTGTGACCTTGTTGGAGTAGGTGTGTCACTGTGGGTTTGGGTCGTAAGACCCTCATCCTAGCTGCCTGGAAGCCAATATTTCACTAGCAGCCTTCAGATAAAGATGTAGGACTCTCAGCTCCTCCTGCACCATGCCTGCCTGGATGCTGCCTTGTTCCTGCCTTGATGGTATGGACTGAATATTTGAACCTGCAAGCTAGTCGCAGTTAACATTGTCTTTTATAAGACTTACCTTGGTCATGGTGTCTGTTCACAGTAGTAGAACCCTAACTAAGAAAAGGTTCATGGCATGAGATCTAAGGAGAGAAGACCTGAGTTTACAAAGCTGAGCTTGAACCCAAGCTAGGCTATTGTAAAAATTCTTTGCTATAACTTGCTTAAAGTACATGACATCATTACTTTGAGTGTGTATGTGTATAAAAAACAGAGACCAGAGATCCCAACCACTATCCCCCACCTGCCACCCCTACTTTGAGATAGGGTCTCTCATTGGCCAGGATCTCCTGTAATTAGGCTGTGTTGTCTGTCCAGTATGCAGCAAAGATCTGCCTCCACAGCACCGGGAATACAAGTGCGTGCCCCCACGCATGTTCTTGTAACATGGGTTCTGGTGACTGAACTCACCTACTGAGTCATTGGTGATAGTTGTTTGCATTGAGAGTCCCTGACAAGGGCCTGAGGTGCATATTTTACCTACCAAAGCATACCTGGCCTCCAGGTCCTCTCAGGATCCCTTGATCCCTTCCTGGTGTACCCTGCCCCCAACCCTGAACTTTCTAGCCTAGGGGCTGGGCTGCCCTTTCCTCAAAGGCTCTTTCCTATATAATCCACACATTGTGGGCTTCCCCCTTCTTTTCTCTTCCTTTGCTTTCTCTCTTTTCTCTCTTCCCTCTTTCTCTTTCCATGACAACCCCTCGGCCTCAGTCCTTGAGGCCAGTTAATATGCCTGAAAACAGCTTCCCAATAAACCTGTTTAATCTAATCTAATCTGGTTTGAATTGACTCACATTGACTCATTTCACCAGTGGAATGTCTCATGCTCGTGTTTTTTGGGTTTTTTTTTTGTTTTTTTTTTGTTTTTGTTTTTTTAATAGGGAAAATGCTTCTGCTGTGCCAGAGAGGTGTATTAATATTGAAAGCGTTAATTTTTATTTAATGCATAGTAGTTGTGCATTTTCATTCCTTTACCTTGGAAAATCCTCTGTATCTGCTCTTTCATACCTACAAGTAATTGTTGTTGACTCTATTTGCTGTAGTGTGCTATACAGCTTTTAAAGTTATTCCCCTGTGTAGACTTCAATAACCATTAGCCACCCTCTCTCCATCTCTCACTTTACTTTCTGTTACTCATAATTCTACTCGTTTAGGAGAGCCATAGTTAATAATTTGGAGTATTTCTCGCACACCTGGCACTTTTTCAACTGCCATAGACATATGACCTTATTGAGTCCTCATGGAGAAACGTATTATTCACCCCTTTATGAGGCAACCCCAGCACAGAGTGTTTGACTGACATACTCTAAGTCAAGAGGGAGCAAGATGCAGCTTTTGACCAACTTGGTGACTCTGTAACACAGTCTTCTGGTTTGTTCCTAATATTTTTTTATTTGAATTTTATTTCTTTCCCCTCTAGAGTAAGATGCTTATATTTAGTAAAAGGAGCTGTGGTGGAATATGGTGAAACCCTGCTGATTAAGGCTGAAGTCAACTATGACCAGATAGCTTCTCTGGACTCAGCACAAAACAGAGGACTCCTTCATCAGCACCTCCCCTTCTCTGACCTTGTCTGGGAAGCCTGAATCCCTACACCCTCTACCTGGGTAAGGTCCAGCAGTCCTTGACACACCTACAAGTTCAATTTCCTCTTTTCGCCTTGCTCTTTTCTCAGTAAAACATACCCAGCAAGTACCTGGGATTCCTGGAGTGCCTCTCCATGCAAATGAAGTATTCACAGAACTTTATAACTCTAGCTAAGGATTTTCATTTACCATAAAAACTCCTTAGCACTCTCCAAGGTCCATCTATATCCCTGGTCCACCCCAAAGGCAGGTATTCACACAAGCTAAGATCAGATAAAGGAGCTGTTTCATTGAAGATAATCAGAGAAGGCCTTTCCCCATATGATCTTTAACACTAAGATCCTCAGAGAAGGTCTCTCCTCTATCCCAGCTCCTTGCCCTCACTCTCTAACCCTCTCTTTTTCGGAACTCCACCTATTTTGGAGCCTTGGGTTACTCTCCAACACACATACCACAGTGAGAGAGGATCAAAATTTCCAATGCACATCTTCTCAGAAAACTTAGGTATCATATGCTATGTGTAGAAATGAAATATGACTTGCAATTCGATGAACAAATATTTATTGGGGAGATGGCTCTGTGGGAGGATGAGGAGCTGAGTTGGGGAGAGCTAGAAGTGTGGTCTATAGTTCTGGTGTTTCTACAGGAAGATGGGTGTTAGAGACATGTAAATAGCTGGAAATTCATAAGTCTGAACCCTGGTGTGTGTAGCTAGGAACAATACCTCTTCAAAAAAGTTAAAAGATAAGGACTGGCAGGCAGAGGCCATCCTCTGACCTCCACAAGGGCACCATGGCACACATGCTCAATCAACCAAAGACTGAAAAAAAAATCACTACGACTTTTTAGAAGCAAACTGTAACTTCTCCATCACCTGGCTCTGCATGTGCTTATGACAGAATGAACAAAACAGACCAAGGAGATAAACAGTGAGGGGATAAAGAAATAACTTTCTAGAACTTCCTCACTAACTCTTGTAAGTAAAGGCTGTGCTTCATACAACACAAGTTTCCTGTGTGTTCTTTAATGCTGACAAGACTTCTACACAACTGACCTGGTCCCAAGAAGTAGGTTCTCTATAGTCTAGGCTCTTAACACATTCTAAAGAGAGTTAAGGCACCTTTTCCAGTGCCATCTATGAATCTATACATTTAATTTAAAAAGGGAGGGGGCATATCTATTAGCTATAGATCACTGAGTAAAATGTCATTATCTTTCTGAGATCCACATATCCGTCTTCAGAAGCTTTGAAGGTTGATTTCTCAGAGTAGTTGAAATCAAGTTTTAACACACTGATTCTTTAGAGGTAAGAAATAGACCTTTTTGTCAGTTGAAAAGACCTTGAATGGTCCCTTTTTGAAGATATCCCTGATGTATTAGCAATGGCAGGGCTAGTGAGAAGGCGAATCCACTATCTTCCAGTTTTGATAACATGGCCGACTCCTCTTGTACTATCCATCCACAGATGATGTGTACCTCAACTGAATTCTGCATTTCACTCGAAGAGCAAACATTAACCAGATATATAAAAGTACTTTACAAGCAGTTACACTTGGCCCTTTAAGGTCTGCTACAATCAGAACATTTCATTTATAAAGCCGCAGCTGATGAGCTTCTTACTTCTGACCACAGTTTAACTTCTTGGGAGAAGTCCTAAGGCAGGGAGGCATTCAGTCTGTAGTAGAACAGATGTTGTCAACTATGCTAACCTTGCACACCTAGGTGGTTTCAGTCTCTCTGCATAACTGCCAACTGGTTTAACCAGATCAGGAATCCTGTTTGACAGACATAAAGAAGTAGAAAAAAATAAGGCAAAGATGAAGAGATTAAACAAGTACTTGGGACCTGGGAGCAAGGTTTTAAATACACGTTTTCGTTTTCATAGCGCCGGGAAAGTCAGTGTATACACAGGTACACACACACACACACACACACACACACACACACATACACACACACACACCCTTCCCCGTTTTCAAAGGTTGTTTCCCTGGGGCATTTCTCAACATTTGATAGTCCTTTGGAGGGCAGGATTACAAGTGGTTTTGGGGAGGACCTTCCCAGAAAGGCTGAAGATTTCTAAGCTGCCAAGGTTAGATCCCTCCCTGTTTTCCCAAACCTTGGTGGACCTGGACTGGGGATCTTGCATCTGGCCTGCCCAGCTCTGGCCTCCTGACCCAGACAGCTCCCTCCGCAAGGGAGCGCAGGGCCAAACCTAGGTCGCACCGCCCCCAGCCTCGGGGCTGTCTGCCAAGAGTTCGAGGCCACCCCAATCCGGATATGATGAAAGGGAGCCACAGAGAGAGAAGTGTTTGAAGAGTGTAGGAGTGGCAGCCCGAGGGTGAAAGAGACGCACAAGTGGATCCTAAAGTCCTTCCCGGAGCCGGGTTGCCGGGAGGGAAGGGACTGAGAGAGCGCAGAGTCAGCGCGCCCGGCTGCCACCGTCGCCGCCACTCCCGGGGGCGGCGGGACATTGTCAGGCTGCCAGGACGCGATGGGGCCGCAGCCCAAGCCTCGCTGACTACCGGTGGCGGGAGGAAGGGACTCGGAACAGCCCGCGGGGGGAGATGCCGAGGTAGGTAGAGGTCCCCTAGGTCGCTCTGCCGCCGGGGTCCCCGCGTGTCCCCTCCCGGCGCGCGCGTCCCGCTCGCAGCGTCCCCTTAGGCTGCTTTCAAATCCTAACTTCCCCGGGGTGGAGTTGGAGGAGGGACGCGGAGGGGGAGGGAATGGCCCCGGCGCGGCGGCGTGCTGTGCTCTAAAATCAGTTGATCCTGCTGTCCCTTTTGCTTTTCCCGCCAGAGGCAGGCCGTTTCCTGCACCCAGCACCTAAGCAGCTGGGGTCGGTGCACCCCACGGGGACGGCGCGGGCTCGGAGCGTGGCCCATGTCCGGCGCGGGTGAAGCCCTCGCTCCGGGGCCCGCGGGGCAGCAGTGCCCGGCCGAGGCGGGCGGCGGCCGGCTGGGCTCCCCGGCCCACGGTGAGTAACGAGTGCTTGCACACTTATGGATGGGGCAGTGGGTGGGGGGATGATGGGAGGCTGCGAGGATGGGCTCCAACTTCGTAGTTGTGAACTTTTGCACACTTCGTGTTACTTAAACAAGTCTGCCCGAGGATCCTTGCCCCAGATCAACAAAAGGATAGGAGGGCGGGGTCCCTGGTCCCTCTACTCCCCCTTCCTTGCGAGAAACAGAATGGCTAGATGGCTTCTGCCTAAGCACTTCAAGGCCTGAGACTCAGGAGGGGGTGTGAGGTCTCCAACCCTTGTCTAGTTCTCTTAAGTTCTTATGTTCTTTTCTCACACAGGGCTGTCTCTGCTCTCTGAGCAAGTGTGGGCTCTCCTCATCTTTCTGCTCCTGGGGGGGTACTCTGAACCCCCGCCTCCCCGCCCCAGGTTAAGCATCCAGGTTTCTGAGACCAGTTTCCTTTGGAATGGCTCCTGCACATGTTTTCAATAACATTTGTTTTGAAATAAACATGTTCCAAGAATGAATTAACTCTTTTGAGTTCTTCCAAAGGGAAAACAACATTTTTGCTTCTGGGAAGCCTCCATAACCACATTTTAAAATTCTGTGAAGGTAATAGATTTCAGGTGGTGGCAGAACCAGACTGTTAACATTTGAAGAGAGTTCTGATTGGCAGACACCAGATAACTTTTCAGGTCTCCAAAAACTCTTGATTTTAAGCATATCCAAAATCTTGTCTCCTAGTACCCCAATATATATTGCCTTCTCTCTCTCTCTCTCTCTCTCTCTCTCTCTCTCTCTCTCTCTCTCTCTCTTTCTTTCTTTCTTTCTTCTTTTTTTATGCAAAAAAGGAAGAGAAGTTGCTGTTCTAGCCAGAGTAGATAAAAGCAGAAAATAATCCATGCTTAAATTGAAATGTTATGTTTATCGTTTTGTTTTAGAAGAGTGACTCATTTCTTTTCCCAAACAGAGAGTCCAAGTGATTAGCTGTAGTAAAGCACAGAAGTAGGCTGATAAACACACGTTTTCTCAGAAGCAGCCCATTTTACACACACTTTTGTCAACACTGTCATCTCTCTGTCATTAGCCATGCCAGCCACAGTCCTAGCCACTCCTGGACAGGGTTTTTATACCCCAACTTGAACCATTAATCGCGGCTGATAAACAATGCTTACGCCAAAAATCAGCATCCAACACACCAGGTAAAATGATTTGATTTGGAAATAGTCAGTATGCACATAACCCAATGTTAAAGCTCTGGAAGTTTAAAATCTCCTGGAAGAAGTTGCCATGATACCTACTGTACCTGTGTAGTACAAAGCTGCTTGCTGTCAGGTGATCTGAGTACAAGAAGTGGGACATCTAAAAGGACCTGAGTTAAATGCTAGCTGTATACAACATGCATATCTCTCTATGGAAAATCAATGTCCTGTTGCAACTGAACATTACTTTCCTCAAGTAGTCCCACCTTTTTACCCCATCACTGGGTAACAAAGCATAGTGTCTGAGCATTGTAGGACATTAGTGTTCAGTTAGTCAAAATTCAGTTTTAAAATTCTGCACACTACATATACTAAGGAAAGTATAATTCTTTAGGGACATTTACAGAAGATGTTTTGTAAAAGAAAAAAAAAAGAATGAGACATGTCTTCTGCAGAGTTAAACATACTTATTATATGTGCACTGTGCACTGTGCACTGTGCTCATGTATGTAATACCACACGTAGTATGTTGCAATGGACTACTCACTACACTATAGTAACTCCAGGTGTAATTCTTAAAAGTTGGAAGTGACTTTAGGGATTTCTTTTTTAAAATCTGGTTTGAACCTTCTAATCAAATTTTGGAATCAGTTCTACAAACTTTAAGGTGTTATTGGGAAACAGAATAATTCACTGTGGTTTTTTTTTTTTTCAACATTGAGTTGGAAATGTTTTCTTTACTGAGAAGACAGCCCCAAACATTTACCTTTCTGTTGTGCTTCTGTAATCTTTTCTATTGCTTTGAAAGCATTATAGATATTAAGACTCTTTCTGTTGTGTTCGGAAAGGTGTTACAGAGTAAGGTGCTTGCATGCTGCAAAGCTGTAAATGGAAACCAGGAAAGTAGCAGGCAGCTTATTTCTGAGATTCAAGGTCCAGGAGAGGAAGTGGGCCAGGAGATAGCACGACTTAGTTCTGTCATGTGGGTTCTTATCTTCTGATGTCCTAAGGGCTAGTGGAAATCTAGATGTGTTTGTGTATTCTTTCATCATTTTATAGTAACTAATTGAGTGAGGGTTTTTTTTTGTTTTGTTTTGTTTTGTTTTTTGATTCCCCTGTGGCAAAGAACCAACCATATTTGGAGGTTGGATATGAACTCTGGGCCTCTGATTTGTTGTCTCTGCTTTTGCAAATAGAAAGTAAATGTGTTTTAAAATGATTTTCCTGTTTATAACCAACTTCTGAAATATTGAGTTATATTGTCATGCAAAATTCCTATAGAAATAACTTGGTAGGTGAAAGGCTATTTGGGCCAAGATTGATCTTCTAAGAAAATGGGTTTGTAGATATGATTCCTCTTGTTGTTTCCTTTGCTTTTGGATTAAGCATTTGAATGCTTTTTCTGCTATCATGCACTACTGTAACCAAAAGAGCCTTTTCATTAAGTGCTACATTCATAAGTTTGTGATTTATATGTGGTGGAATCTTTAGAAATAGTTTATTCCAATGGGTTATGTCTTTAGATGAGGGAAAGGATGCCCAACGAATGTAAGGGGCTTGCGCAATACAGAGATTACCCCACATACAAGAAATCAGGTGGAGCACAAACTGTAAAACATATGCCATAGTGATAAATGCGGTTGCAGTAGTGAATCAATACAACCTTGTCACATGGAGAGATGCACTGAAGTTAATAGGCTCTGGAGAGTGTGAATCACTGGAGCCCATTTCCATCCCAACCCCCACCCCAGTGCACTTGCCAAGACGTACACTGTTGGACTCAGTGCTGGTATATACTTTAATGTGATAATGTGTGATTTAATGTACTCTTGTCTCTAGGGAGAGTCCTCTGAGACTATTAGGCGGACTTTTCATAGCAGGATGCAAAATGCCAGTGAAGTTAATTAAAAATAATCTAAAATAGAAGCGAGGGAGAGGCTCTTCAAGCTGAAACTGCTTAAGAGGAACTCAGACTTAGAAGCTTAGCCGTGTTGTCAGGAGTTTATCGAGCTAATCAGATTTCCTTTTGGGGAAGACTGTTTGTTTCAATTTATATAATGTAAGCTTTACATATCTACGTTTCTCTACTTTGGTCATGCTGTTTTATCTCTTTTAAAGATGGCATTTCTCAAAATGTATTATCCTTGGACAGCTTCTGTCATTAGTTCTCAACTGGAGATGATTTTGGCCCCAGGAAGATGTTTTGACTACATCTGGAGACATGTTAGGTGGTCCCAACATGGCAGGGTATGTTACCAATGTTTGGTGAATGGGGGACAAAGGATACTGCTTAGCATCCTTCAGGGCACATGATAGCACAGTAAACAAATAATAAACAGTCTGGCCCAAAGTCAGTACTGCATAGACAGAAATACCTTCTGTCCTTATTTCTTGGGCACCAACAGGAATTCATCCTTACTCAGGTGCATAATAAAATTCTCTAGGTAGAAAATCAGAGAATCTGCATCTGCACAAGGTCCGGGTGGTACTTGATTCTGTCTAAAGTTTATTAATTTAGAGTCTTTATCCACAAAAATACCCATTTTGTTGACTTCTAAGTAGAGAATAGTCCTTTCTTTTTATGCTGGGAGGGGTAGAAGCGAGTGCACCTTTTCAAAAAGCTGTAAAAACAATTCTAAATTTAAATTTTATTAGTCCATGAAAATGCTCTACTGATGCAAACCCCCCAAATTTTGGTTTTATATTTTAGTTCAATTCCAAAGTACTTCTGAGCTTCGAAACCACATATTTTTTATCTTAAATAGCATAAAAGAGATAGAAGAGGAAAATCAAAGGCATGCCACAATGAAATAGGATTGGAACACCTTTGCCACCTCCATAGAGATGCTTGTCCCGCATCCCTTCATAGCTTCTTGGAGATGCTACTGTGTAGCAAGATTCAGGGACAGCTCTCACCTTTCATATGAGTCCTGTTTATTTACATGTTGGACTCTTGGTACCTGGATTATATTTTTGCTTAGAAAAAGTAGTAGGTTATGTTTTGATCCTTAAAAGAAATCTCAACACATTGTTAGAAATAAATTTTATTGAAACTTTCATTTTTTTATGATAAATCTCAGACAATATACTATTACAACTCTGGCAGCCAGAGACAAGTAACAAAGAATACAAATAAACCCATTAGAAGCTGTCTTAAAACACTTTTCGAATATATATTCTTGAGGAAGGACAGAGATAATTAGTAAAATCAATGGAAAGTTGTTGAGATTTTAAGGGGATGTGGGGACATTTTTAGGCATAGCGAAAGCCAAAGTCCTAACTCTTTCATAAGCATGAATGTCCAGTTTATAAGATTAGCTTGAAAAGGGCAAGGCTTGTCAACATTGTATTGTTTCTTCCTTTGCTAAGAGTCAAATGAGTCAAGGAATGGAAACTGGAAAATTTTGATAACAAAGGGACAGAAGGAAAGCGAAGGAAGAAAAGAAAGCAGGAAGGAAGGAAGGAAAGGAGGAAGGAGTAAGTTAAAACTCATCGACCTATGCATTGATTTAAGTACTTGGAGAATTTGAGTTGCCTAAATTGAATGGTAGGAAACATCTGTTTTATGGTTTAGTCTGGTGTGAACTGGGCAGATGACTAGCATGTTAATTATATTTACATACATGTATACACACACACACACACACACATTATTATGTACCATAAGAAAGGCACAAAGAAAATTCAATGACAGAAATCGGAAGACATCAATCATCTCTAGTTGGGGATTTGGCTAAGTCTTCAGGAAGACCTAGTATGACGTGGTCTAGGAAGCATGGCTCATTCGGGAGCATAGATTATAGAATGTTGGG